AACAAAAAACTACATTAAAAGGGGGAAAACATATTAAATATTATATCAACTCATCCGTTTTACCTGCATGTCCCACTAGATGGGGTCACAGGCTAAATAATTGCTGAATTCATGTACTGCTTTTGTGTTGCACACTTCTTAACTGTACCTAAGAGCTAAGCCAGTTTAATATGGGTGTGAGAAGTGCTTATGAAACTGGAATATACATATAAACACACACACAGACCACCAAAACACATGGTACACATAAATGGTTTCGAGGATTCAAACCACATTTTCACGGTTAAACGCGGTTTTGTTGGCCAGTGCAGCTCACACCACCACAATCAGACGTAAAAAAAAAACATTTCGACACTTGTCTCCGCTCGGGGTGATGCTGTGGTTGTGAATTAAATAAGAAACTTTTAACTTTCTCGGGATATGAAGACGGGAAACAATAACACTGTGGCGAGAACGCGCACGGCGCCGCCGCCCATGAGTGCTCGACCGTTGAGAAGAATCCTCGACGCCATCTTGTTCCCAGTCGACAACGACGGGTGATTTCGTTTCACCAAAAAGGAAGTCACTTTTTTTTTTTTTTTTTTAAAACGCCCGCAAATACAAAAATGTCCACTTATTTGATAACATAAGGTAGTCGCGTCGACCTTTTTTATCTTTTACCCATCGGAAAGCCTCTTTAATAAGTTACACACTCGTTTATGTTGTTACCTAATGGCGCCCGGTTGTCGTTGCTCTCCGGTTGCACCCCTCTCCCCTCACAGCTCAGAGCCCGCCCACAAATACTAGCTGCATGATGTCATCACAAACCAACCGTTTCTCAAAAAAAAACACCAACAACCATTTTTCATCAACTGCTTTTTGGACAATTATTAATCTCCCCCATCAACTGGCCGCCATTATCTTAACATAAAACTGGTCAGATATCACAGTTCTGGTGCAGAAGGAAAACGCGATGGGCGAGAACGGCCATCTTCTCCGGTTTAAAAAAAAAAAAAAAAAATCGACAGTTTGACTGTTTAATCGCCGCATCCTCCAAACAGCCGTTAGCGCACATTTCCGTTCAGAAGAAGCGGGTGAGGTTGTGGCTCGGTCGGCCATTACTTTTCTCCTTCGTCCTCCCACAAGTTTATTTCAAACAACCTCACTCGCTCGCTCGTGCGCCGGCAGTTTGCAGCGGTCCTGAGCGAGTGCGCATGCGCGGGGGGATGCGGTTCAGGGTGGGGGAGGGTCAAATAATGGAAACGATGAGAACATCCTTTTTACCGACATATGATGTCAAAGGGATTTCTACACACACATGTTTTTCTGACAATAACCACCGATTTACTACGACAGTAAAGCTGGGGGGG